AGAGTATGGTGGGATCTGTTTTCAAAATGCGAATAATAAAAAAATAGAAAAAAAAATAATTAAGTAAAATGATTGTGTTGTAGTTTTGCCCCTGTTATTTTGAGAATTTGAATGTTACCACTATTAACTGTTGTTTTCACAATTTTGTCCATACTAGTGAAGTTTCCTAACATTGGTGCCCCTGTTGCTCAAATGTGCTTCGTTGTTGTTTGAAATGACGTGTTAAGTATCTTGGCTCTTCCTCCCATAGTTTGAACAATATAATCTAAAAATATATATATATATATATCATAATACTCGTAACTAGTTTATTTTAGTTTATTTGCTGACCAAAAATTCATAAGGTTATGTTTGTTTCAACTTGTATATGTAAAGTTGAATTTGAATTTTTATAAAAAAAAAATACCGTAATGATAAAATTTGAGTTATGAAAAAATAAGGTATAAATTTTTACCTCCTATATCACAAAATACAAAACAAAGAGGTACTAGTGTAATAATGCACAAAACTATAAAATATCAAATAATAATTTCTATTTACTTTTTTATCTTTGACGTTTTATTTTAAAACCGTTGTTTTTTATATGTTATATAAGATTAACTTTTTAAATGAAGTATCTCTATATTTTATTATTTAAATAATATTAATAATATTTAGATCATCGAAGTGACATAATAAAATATATTTTTTATTAAATTAGTAAAAAAAATCTTTTAAGTGATATAAATTTATATTTTGAATCACATAAATGTAATGGCAGAAAAAAAGAATAGATTTTTCCTAATATATATATAACATTCTCACCTTTACAAGTTAGTGATTATTTGTATGTTTAAACTCGCGGCGCTCTGGTTTATTTTAAGCTGTAGGGCGTCAAATGTGAATTGAAAGTAGAACTAACAGTTTGTTTAATTTGTTGATTGGGTTTTTATTTGAGTTAATATATAATTTTATTTGAAAATTTTTTTATTACAGTAAAAAAGTTAAATGTGATTATTTTTAAGAGTTTTTTTATTGTAATAAAATTCGAATGTCTCATTCATTTCACCGATTCGAGTTTTCAGTTTTAAGTTTCTATACTAAAAAGCTTTAAGAAAATATCACATCTAACTTTTACTGCTACAGTGAAAAGCTATCAGAAAATGTCATATCTCAACTCGAATTAAAAACTCGAATCTGCGAAGTGAACAAGGCCGAATTGATAAAATGAACATGACCTAAAACTATAGAAGATTCAGATCTCATTTATTTTACTGATTTTAATTTTAATTTTTAATTTTATTATAATTAAGAGGCCGAATTGATAAAATGAACATGACCTAAAACTATAGAAGATTCAGATCTCATTTATTTTATTGATTTTAATTTTAATTTTTAATTTTATTATAATTAAAAATTCTTATAAAAAATCACATCTAATTTTTTTTTCTATCGTATCTCAACAAATTAAAAACTCGAATCAACTACAAGAATATTCCGGCAAAAAAAACGACAGTGAAGTGAGTGAGAGATAGAAAGTACAGGAGTCGGATTCACATGCGTTACGGTTCCCAAGAAGATGCACTATTATAAATATTTGTCTTCCTTGCGTCACTTTCAGTTATTTCTCCTCCAAACCATACCAAACTCTGCAATGGCCATACCATATTATTACACCACACCCAGTTCAGAAATGAAAAAGAAGCAAAAACTCCATGGATAATTGAGCCTTCTCAAAACTAGCCCTTCTTTTTTCTTGTCATTCTCTTTAAACCGAATTGTTTTTTTAAAGGCTTAGAAAGCAGAAAAGTATGGGGTTTGATCTTGAATCTGTTGCAGAGGCAACATCAGGAGCTGTTGGAGCTCTGGTTAGCACCACCCTCTTGTACCCACTTGACACCTGCAAGACTAAATATCAAGCCGAAGTTCGAGCTTTCAATCAACAAAAATACAGGTATTTATTTATTTACTTATTTATTTGCTTTTTGGGTCCCACTTAATCGGGTTTGATCTACTGTCTTTCTTTTTCTTTTTCTCCTTTTGGTTTCAATTTTGTGTTCCTGGCAGAGATTGAGGTTTTGTTTCCCTGTGAAGTTTGCTATTTGCGTAATACATTGGCATGTTAGAAAGACTTTAAATTTGGTCTAGATTTTGATGTTTTGGGATTTCATAAATAATTGGAACCTTATACTAGTTTGTTCATGTTTCAATTCTGCACATGGTAAATGTTAGGATCCTAGCTTAGAAAATCAGCCAAACACCAATACCACACTCACACACACTAGAAACAGCAAGAAAATGAGAATAATTGGAGGGAATTTTATTAATCAGCCAAGAATACCAAATTACACTGAAATGTAAATGATAGAACGAAGAATTCGAGTACTCCGGGAACTCCTAATTTAGTGGTATTCGAGAGACCACCGCTCTCCCTAATCTCAGTTTCTCAAAACTCTCCAAATCACAATATACCTCTAGTGAGCTACTAAGCCCTTTATTTATACTAATTCCTACTAACTATACCAGCCCACTAACCAAACAAGTTTCCAAGTCATTAACGGATCCTAACAGTAAATGCCAATTCGTATTGCATAAAACAAGAACAAAGGATAGTCTTTGTTTCTGTACAATTTGAAAAATGGTTACTTGGGGGAGTTATACTGATATCATGTCAACTGACTGTTGATGATGTTGAGTGTGTGGAGCTCATTAGCACCAGAATTAGCACGTGTATCATTTGCCCCAATTTTAAGTATATTTGGCGGTACCCATTTTTAGAATCAGGTTATAGAGCAATACAAAGAGCCTGGGAGGTGTGAGGCGTGTGATTCTATTATGATCTTTAACGGCTGAAAGAAGACTTAGTTGTTACATTTAGGGTAAACCACTATAATTCTTGTGTGTGCGGGGTTCATTACTTTCCTTTGTTTTACTGCTGTTGTTAGTGAAGCATTAAAGCTTTAATCTGTAACAGAAGCAGTAGCGTCTTGCTCTTAGAACTAGTTTTTATAACTACTATGGACTAAAGATTACAGACATTAACTGCCCGATGAACAAACTTACTTATGAGACAAATTTTCTCTCGGATACATACATTTGGTTACACGCATACCGGTTTTTGCAGGAATATTTCTGATGTTTTCTGGGAAGCGATTTCAACACTTCAGGTGCTTTCGTTGTACCAGGGGCTTGGAACAAAGAATTTCCAATCATTCATTTCGCAGTTTATCTACTTCTATGGATACAGCTTCTTCAAGAGGTTGTACTTGCGAAAAACGGGAAAGAAAACAATTGGAGCTAAAGCAAACTTGATTGTTGCTGCAGCTGCTGGGGCTTGTACAGTTGTGGTAACACAGGTCAGAATCGTCAAATCATGCACTTCCGTTATTCCTCCAAATAATAATAATAAAAAAAAGAGTAAACAGAATGAGAAAATTGATTGGAAGATTGCATGTGAGTGCTATTTATTAAGCCTTTCTTTAGTCCCAATGACATACATTGATTCAAGTTCCTTAAACCAGTGAACAAGTTGGCCGTATCTAGTACACTTAAAGGAAGTTTTGATTTAAATCCTGGTTTCTAATGCTCATATCCAAATCCTTGTAATCAATTATGGTTTATAAAGCATGGTTTGACCCTTAAAATCTCATTTGTTTACTTTCGAGTTTTCCCTCTGCAGCCTTTGGATACAGCATCCTCAAGGATGCAAACAAGTGAGTTCGGAAAATCCAAAGGACTTTTGAAGACCCTTTCAGAGGGCACTTGGAAAGAGGCATTTAATGGTCTTGGCATATCTCTTCTTTTGACATCCAACCCTTCTATCCAGGTACTTGTTGTGCATTTTCAACATGAGCTATGGTCTGTTTGATTTATTTTCTTTGTGGTTTCGGTAGAGAAAGTTACTTTTCTTTTTAATTTATTTGTCGGATGGTCAGTCTCCATCCATGTCATGCCATGTTTAATAAGTATAGTAATTGCTACTTACATCTAATGGTTTGATTGGTCATCAAATTTTTCCTTTTTTCCATATAACCAAGAATAGCAAGAGAAGACAACTTGAACTGAAACTTGAACTTGTGTAGTGCAGTACACCGTGTTTGATCAGTTGAAACAAAGACTACTGACGAGACAGGGTAGTCGAAAAACAGGTATAGCATCATCCCCAGAAGCTCTTCCTGCGTTTTCTGCTTTCCTGTTGGGTGCCGTCTCAAAGTGTGTCGCTACCGTCTTGACATACCCAGCTATCAGGTGGATACTCAATTCACAATTTCTCTTTATGATGTATGACCTAAGTTGATGAGACACTTCACGTTCTTTATAATATCTGCATTCATAATCCTCATTTATAATCTCTTCACTTGGTGAGGCAGGTATTTTAGAAAGGATTGTATTTGTTCTCTTCTCTATCTAGGCTACAATAAGAAAGCAAAAGAGAGAAATAGAAGAAGAATTACAGCAGAAGAGAAAGAGAGTAGAATTTAACGAGAGGTGGAAATGACAATAGAGAGATATTTGAATATTCAATATGAGCTAGTTTTGGAAAATTATTCAAACAATAAGAAAAATATAGGGAAATAAAACCGAAAACTGCTTGCTATATTTACGGCTAACATAAATGCGTAATTTGTTATCTTGAACCCCATGAAGATGCTAAGACAAGACTTCCATGACGAAATTGGTGTTACAAACTGCCACAGGTGCAAGGTCATGATTCAAGCTGCAGAGTCGGATGAAGACGGAAAAACTGAAGCTGACAAAAAATCCCAAAAGACAATTTCAGGTGCACTTTTCGCCATTTGGAAAAGAGAAGGTCCGCTGGGTTTCTTCAAAGGGTTACAGGCTCAGATACTAAAGACTGTGCTAAGCTCAGCTTTGCATTTGATGATAAAGGAAAAGATCACAAAGACCACATGGATTATACTCCTTGCACTCAAAAGGTTTGTATTTGTCAAGCGTGTTAGATTAAAGGCCGCTTGAATAAGTGCTCGTCACGAAAAGCTCCATCGAAGTTGTCCGCATTTGGAGGAGATTTATGTTGCTCCATCGAATGGTGGATGCTAAAGGTTAAATTCTAGTATCAAGAAATAAGACAGGAATCGTAGCACAAGGTTTTTTCGTCTCTGCATTTTTTTTTTTTTTTTTTGAATAACCTCTTCATGGATTTGGTCATTACTAAAAGTTTTCATTTCATTGGCTTAGAAAAACATTATATATATCTTTGGTCGGATTGTAAATTAGTTTTAGTTTTTTACACCAATACAACCAGGAATTCATTGTGCATCGGGTCAATACATGCATACCTAGATAAAGATTACCAGCCTGCAAGAATAAGGCATCATTCATTTCACTGATTCGAGTTTTCAGTTTTAAATTTCTACAGTAAAAAATTCTCAGAAAATGTCACATCTAACCTTTTCTGCTACAGTGAAAAGTTATCAGAAAATGTCACATCTTAGCTCGAATTGAAAACTCAAATTCGTGAAGTGAACGAGGCCTAAATGGCGTATATGTAGGGCCTAATTTCTTGCATGGGCCTAATTGCTTTCAAGAGCGAAGAAAGAGTCCACATATCATCGAGAAATCTAGACAAATACTCTTTAAAAATATATAGGTCTTGATTTTATTTCTTATTTTTGATTAATACCTTTTTTAATTAAATAGTTATATTGATAAAAGGGTATTAATCAATAGTAAGGAGTTAAAATCTAAATATATACACTCACCTTGATTAATACTCTTTTTAGTTAAATAATTATATTGAAAAAATGGTATTAATCAAGAGTAAGGGGTCAAAATCCAAACTCATACACTCTATCTAAAAGTGAATTCAATAATTTTCTCCGTATTTATTTATTTTTTTCATATGTATAGAGACATGTATGCGCCGATGAGCGTTTCTAGGAAGATTACTAGCATGCAAGATTAGTTTCTGGTAAGGATCTATGTTTTCCTTGTGGCGTTTAAGGGGAATTGAGGCAGCGATTTTGTGACACATTTTATTTTTCGCTAATTCGAATAACAACTCAAGTATTTGTTATAATATTTTTTTTATATAAAAATTCAAATTTAACATTTTTTATTATAATATTTTCTTTCACATGAATTCATTTGTTAACTTAAGTTTTCAACTCGAACAAGCAAGATGAATGGGGCCACAACTTGTCGTGAAGAGTTGTTATTGTGTATTGCTCAATTATAAAAGTCCCACATTGAAAATATAACAATGGGCTTGTGTTCTAAAAGTATTTGAATAGGAGTTGCTTATGACAAAAAAAAAAAAAAAATTATACTAAAAAAATTTGAACATGTTTTCATTGTTGTTAGAGTATTCAAATTGAGTTTTATGGGATAGATTTGTTTCTTTAATAATGCAAGCATTTTACTCATGATCACTTGGATGCAAGAAGTAAAGAGGTAGAGGAGAACCAGAAAAAGTGAATTATGCTAATTTGTTTAGGATAGGAGAGGAATAAAACGTGAAGGAAGAGTTTTTTAGCGCTCTCACATTTTAGTTGTATTTCTTTAATTTGCTTAATTCATTTATTAATATCTTTTGATCGATTAATTCACTCATTTCTGTCTATTTTTTCAACTTCTATCTTTGGTTATTGTGAGACTTACCATATACATTTTTAACAATGTTTAAAACGATTTTCAGCCACAATCTTAATTGTTAATTAAAAAAAGTCGGCAGAAAATTATAAATGATCTATAAGCATTCATAATTGTATTGCACTCTCAACCAAGTCTTGGATACAATCTTTGTAAAATTTCTATCATATATTGGTCACGCAATTAGTGCAAGAGGTCATTGTCTCGAGTTTCGTGATGCCTTATACAAAATATATGTATATATATTCACAATAATTTTTATTCACGTATAAATAAATCTCTCTACATAAAATGAGAGCCAATATTATTACAATGCTTTTAAAAAAAAAAAGACTCCATAATTTACCACACACAAAAACATCTCAACACCCTAATACCATCTACACCACGTTCGATCCAAGTGCTTTGACGGCTCGACTAAAATATGCAGCTTCGTTTGGAAGATTCATCGTTCTTAGGCTCTCTCTGGAGTAGTAGTGGCATAGAACTTGTCAATGGACGTGGCTTTTATTGTCTTTTAACTTAAACATAAATAAAGAATGCTGAATATGTATCTATGTGTATATATCTTCTGTGCTCTGCTCTTGATCTATAAGAGTAAGAGGGAAGCGATCAACAAAAGCAGGAAGTGGAGAATCAAGCTGATCTTGGGAACAAAACTGGCTGCACTGATAGGGTTGACTACATCCACTGCATTGGTGTTTATTCCATTTCCATTTGGGGAGTTGGCTGTGTTTGGAGTATTGGCTGGATTGGAAGAGTTGGCGGAAGGCACAACGCCTGCGGCGGTCGAGTTTGAGGTCAAAACAACAACAATCCAGTCGTCTTCAAAACCAATTCCGACGCCCGTAAACTTGGGGTCATTGAGAGAATTCGAGTATTGGGAACGTTTGAGGTCAGAGAGGGCGCTGTTAGGGACTGAATTGGGAACGCAAACTGGCAGTACAAGACCGTTGGAGACATTCAAATTGCATTTGGCTAAAAGCTCCGGGTAGTTGGAGAGCTGAGTCGTTGTGCCCGGTGTGGTGATGGCGCCCGTGGTGTTCGCGCAGGGTTGATCCTGGAAGCGGTCAGCAAATTCATCGGCAAAACACTCTGCATTCACGTTCTTTGTTAGCGCCGCCAGCTTTAAGGTAGCCCGTTCCGCATTGATGCTTCTAAGAAGAACATCTTCCTCATCATCATTCTTAATATTATCATCCTTGTCATCGTTAATATCATGATCATCATCTGCGGGAAAACAGTGTAGATGTGCTCCATTTGACTATATTGCAATATAAATTCAAAAAGAAATAATCTTCCAAAATACATGCATAGAGAAGTCCAATATAATATGCACTAAAAAATTTAAGAAATAAAAGCCTGTTCAAACATATGGGGTTTGAATGTCTTTATGCAAGAAAAAAATAGAAAAGAAAAAACAATCGAGCAAACAAAGGAGTATATGTGACTGTGCTCTTGGTTTATAACACTAAGATGGAAGCAAACAACAAAAACAAAAAGTGATAAACAAAGCTAATCTTGGGAACAAAACTGGCTGTATTGATTGCTTTGCCTGTATCAACGGTGTCTTGGGCAGGCACAAAGCTTCCCTCAGGTGTGCTTGTGGTGAGAACGACAACGATCCAGTTGTCTTCATGACCGATTCCGATTCCTGAATACTTGGTGTCGTTGAGGTAATCCGAGTATTGAGACTTCGTGAAGTTGGAGACGACGAGAGTAGATTCCAAGTTGGGAACACAAGCAGGCAACACAGCCCCATCTCTTGTGTTGGATATGTTCAGATGGCATTTGGTTAAGAGATTTGGGTAGTCTGCAAACTGGGGTTCAGTTCCTGTCACGGTGTTAGAGCCCGTCGTGTTTGTGCAGGGTTGATTCTGGAACTGTTCGGAAACTTCATCAGCAAGACACTCCGCGTTCTTGTTCTTTTGTAAAGCTGTCAAGTTCAAGGAAGCCCTATAGGCATTGATGCTTTGAAGAAGCGAATCTTCCACATCTGCAGGAAAACAGTGAAGATGTCTTAGTATCAAAATGAAAACACAGAGGAAGAGACTCTAAGGGCCCATTTGGTTCATGTGTTCAAGTCAGTGATTCTAATTTATTGAGGGGAACTCTGAGAGAGAACCATTAGCGGGGAATTTTTTTGTTCAAATTTTTTGTCAGAGGAAAACATTGTAGCAGAATCAGAATATGGGATTAAATACGTTAACCAAATGGGCAATAAAAAGATTATAACCTAATTGTATCAGCGAGTATTAAGTATTAACTAAAAAACACAGAGCTGTTTCAGTTCATCATTTTATAGGCTATTATAAAATCTCATTATGATTGCACTTCTGGAACATTGAAACTTGAAATAAAACAAGCCTTCATAGAACTGCTCTTTTATGCAATAATATGCTGTTTGATCTCATATACTCATAGAGCAAATCAATAATATTAGTGTCAACATAAAACTTCATAAGGCTATTAAAAAATATCACTGTACAACCTAATCTTAAAAATTGAAATACTTTGTTTCACCATTCGAATAACAACTTCAACTTTTTGCTACAGTGTTTTGATCCAAAGGGAAACAAACTTACATTTCATACTAAAAAAAAAAAACAGCAAAGATTTCACCTTTTTGGCTCCACCACAATTGTCCCAATTTCTTCCTCCAAAAAAAAAGGACCTACTTTGCAGATTCCTATTACTAGCAGACGGATAGTAGATAGATACTACCATGAATTTCTATAGCTGACATTTACATAACAACAGTTCTTCTATAGAAATATTCCAACGTGAAAATGGCCTAAAATTCCTATAATCACATATAAACTACTTTTCTTCTTAATCGACTAAGTCAATCCAAATAGAGTTCTAGGATTGAAAAAAGATGCAAAGATTCACTATGAAATAGGATATCACAAACCATTATCCTTAGAAAATCAAACAAAGATAGAAATAGTAAGAGCATATAGTAGTTAAAGGCTCATTTATGTCTGCATCTAATAACACATACTAAAAAAGCAATTGAAGCCTATATTTAGGATTGCAAAACGGGGTTAATACATAATCCAAAGCAATTAAAATGTAATTTTTTGACTAGTTACTCTAAAGTAAAGCAAAGCATAAATAAAGCCCGTTATTTGCAATAAGCAGATCAACAGTATCAGTACCTACCTAAAAAAATCAATCCTTAAAAATAAAATAAATAAAAAAAAAAACCCGTAATTGTAAAATGTGAAATCCAGATCAATTATCCCTTATCAGATCGCCCAAAAAGACAGATTTCAGAAATAACATCAAATTTACTAAAAAGATAATGCCAAAAACTAAAATGAAAAAAAAAAATGAAAAGAAGTTTTTCTTTAATCGCATATGTGGTTGACAAATGTATACCAACCATAGCACATTACAATCCAAATCAAAGAACAAGAACAATCAAAGTCCGTTCTTTTTTGATCAATCAAGAAACCAAAAAACGAAAAAAAAAAAAAAAAAAAAAAAAAAAAAAAAAAAAAAAAATTACCAGCTTACTTACCATGGTCGCATTTCACATAGTGATTCAGCAACAGAAGAGAAGAAAGGAAAAGTGGGAGAAAAAGACTACGAATCGGCAAAGACGCCATTGCTGATATGAAAAACCCAAAAACAAAAAAAAAAAAAAAAGAAAAAAATTCTTTGTAAGAGATTTTTCTGTGCTTTTATTATTGTTGTTGTTGTTTTCTATTTCGCTTTTAGCAGAAGCTGCTACGAGCATGGCTTTTATAGCAACAACTTTTGATGAAGACGGACCAGCGAAACTCAAATGAAACTCTTCTACGACGTCGTTTCATCGCTTTGTTTTTCGGTCAAACTACGCAGCTATTTCGCTTGACTTTTTTTGTGTTTTTGTCTTAATGAGGTGACCAAAAAAATTGATAAATTACCAACTAAATATGATTTTTTTTTTTTTTTTTTTGGTGATAATGTCGTTATAGTGTCAAATTTGTTAAGATGTTGTAGTTTGCGTTTCATCTTCCGCGTCTTTCATTTATGGTTCTATGATCAAAACTTGTTCAATGTTAGTTGTTAATTTCAAAAGAACATTTATTTGAGGCAATTATGAAAAGCCATGCTATTTTCTACGTTGCCATACGGATTTATTAGAGATTCACAACGGTTTTGACCTCTAATCACTCTATCCCTATCACAAATAAATATTGTTTTGTAAGAACTATTTTTTTTTTTTAGAAAATTTCATTTCGGTACCTTCTGTTATATCGAAATTTGAGTTTAATGCCTTCTGTTTTTAAAAATTTCATGCCGAAATCATGTTATTAACACAAGCACTAAAAGAAAAAGAAACGGTTAAAAAAGGAAAAAAAAAGAAAAAAAAAAGTTCAAAACAGAGCATCAACATCTATTTTACACTAAATGAAAAAAAAAAAAAGAAAAAATGAACCTCAAAGTTGATAAAATGAACCAGATTTTTACACTAACCCTAAACTAAACAGAATACAAAAGCAAAAACCTATACACACAACATCTAAAAAAATTCTGGTTAACAGATGAATTTTTACAATAAGAGTAATTTTGTCTTTTCTTATCCTAAAAAATAGCTCCGAAGAATTAAAAAATTTTTTTTTAAAAGGTCGAGATACCGACATGAAATTTTAAAAAATATAGGATATCAAACTCAAATTTCAATATAATTGACGGTACTAAAATAAAATTTTCTTTTTTTTTCTATGGTAGGAACAAGATAAAATTTTCTCTTTTTTTTTCTATGGTAGGAACAAGATAAAATTTTCTCTTTTTTTTTTTTTCTATGGTAGGAACAAGTATTTTAGCACTTGACTTAATTTTTTAACGGTTTTTTTGTGAGTTCCATGTTGAAATTTGCAAAACATGACATATAACTATTTCTTAATATAAATCATATCGTTGAAAAATTAGTCTAATATCTAAAATAGGGGATAGGGTGTTGCCCACAAGGACTCCCGTGGCGACGTCCTCCATTGCAACCCCACTATGGACGGTAAAGACGTAAAGTTGGTTGCGACCTCGGCCAACCCGTGGATGAATTGCAAGTTTGCAACCCACTTTCACGGTGCAGCTCAGAATTCACACAACCCTTTGCCAGCTGAGGGCTACTACCCACACGAATCTCCAATTCTAAGGTTGAACATTTTTAGATCATTTTCAATGTCTATTTTTTTTTTTTCCCTTCATTTTTGAATGTGATTTTTTTTCAATAGTTTTTTTTATATCATTAATATGGATAGTTAGGCCTTTTCATATGTAAATTTAACCATTTCTGATAGTAATAGAGTTCCTTTTGTTTGATTTATAACATAGAAGAATATGTTTTATTCTGTAAAAGGAAAAAGTCCAAAACTATCCTTTTATAATAGTTATTGTTTTATTGTCGACCTCATTAATCATAACTATCTATTATTAGAACAAATCAACTCAAACAACTTAAATAAAAAGAATAATATTGAACAAAATGAGCAATATTGATTTCAAATTGAATTTTAAATATCAACTCTAAAAAGATTTTCTTTTTTTTTTTTAGTAGTAACAGATTTTCTTTTTAAAAAGTATAATATTGGGGTTATTTAAAACACTATTGCTTCTCTTTTTTCGTTATTGTGAAAAATTAACAGAAGGGCTTATTTATTTTGGGGTATGCTATAGTAAGGCGCCTGGTTTTCCCTACCAGTAGTGTATGAGATGTAGACCGTTGGATTAAAAAGGGAGGGTTGAAGATGATGGTGCTCAATAAATTAAAATAAAGATAAGTACACTTGATTATACCGAACCTTTCAAGTTCTTAATTATAATAATTCTACCCCTATATTTCATAAAATAATACTTTATATCCAATTAAATCTCAACCCTAAGGCCATGTTCATTTCACCAATTTGAGTTTAGAATTTGAGCTTTGCTACAGTAAAAAGATCTCAGAAACAGTCATATCATATTTTTTTACTATAGTAAAAGGCTCTCACATAAAGTCACATCTCAACTCAAATTAAAAGTTCGAATTAACGAACTAAATGGACCCTAAATCTAATTAAATGTAGATCTTAGCCCTTCAATTACTATCACTAACATCAGCAAACTAAAAGCCTTAAATTTTTTGGGAGCATTTCAGCGGCCACCGCCAGCTTCCCAATGGATCTCCACCCACATCGTCGGCACCTCAGATCATCCTCTACCTTCACCGTTGCCCTCTCCCACCAAAGATCCACTGCATCTCCGTTTGCACCTTGGCCCCCGTGCAACCTCACAATGTGGAACTTTCTGGTCTACGCGTCTCTCACCTCCACGCCGTCACCGTCATCAAAAGCTTGGCCCTCCCTCTCACCGCTCGTGACCGTCTTAGCCCAATGGAGACCGCAACCCACTCGATTTCTTCTCCATGAAGGGGTCATGCAAAAATGGCCGAGGAGGTGCCAAGTGAATCTTGGTTTCCTTTTTTCTTTTTTGCATTTTCACTTTCTTTCTTTTTCGTTTTGATTTTTGACCTACCTTTTCTTCTATTTGATTTGCAGAGAAAGGACATGAAGAAATCGTTGAAAGAGAGAACGATTGAGATTTTTTCAGAGTTGCTAAAAAATATTTGCATTTTTATTTTTTAGGGTTAATGAAGATTTTGACAGAACAAAAAAGATCTTTATTTATTCCCTTTTTTATATATTTTGACAGAAAAGATGTCTCTATGTTATATACAGAGGATAGCCTGTTAAGAACACAACTAATTAAGGAAATAAACTCTACCTAATGCTAGAGATCAGCTCTGCCCAGATTACACGGAATTTACAAAATCTAGCAACTAACTATTCCTATAATCACTCTAAATGAAAAGGAAAGTACAGCTCACTCCAACACTCCTCCTCAAGTTGGTGCATAAATGTCTTTAATGCCCAACTTGTCTAATGAGCTTTGGAAGCTTTTGCTAGAAATGGCCTGTTGGGAATGGTGTCCTAGAAGCATGAGATGTAATATGATATTTATTATTTATTTAATAAAGGAGTTTATTCATTATTTTATGTGCATATATTTATGAATATTTTATGAATATCAATAAAAATTCCATGATTATTTATGTAACCTTAAACATTGTATATAAGTGTTATATACAAGAGGATAATGTTTAAGGATAATAATCAAAAAGCAATGTTCATAATGAATTTAATTAAAGTTAGGAATCTTTAATTAAAATATTATTAATACATGGCATTCCCATTTAGAATGGAACGGTGTTATCCGCACTGTTAATATGGTGAGATATTGAATGAGTGTATTTCGCATAATGAGATTGTGTGGAACAAGGACACAGACACAATATGAATTTCTAATAATTTTCGTTAAGTATAGAAATTTTAATTGAGTCTACCGATGGTCATATATAGAATGATCTTAATCCTGAGTTCTTAACAGACTCCTATTTATAGATTTGTGTCTTTTGATTTACTCAGTACGGATTCTGAGATCCTGAATCCTATTCCTTGTATTTTGGAGACATGATGAAGTAGGTAGCCGGGAATGTTATTACACGAGATGGAATCCATTCATTCGTAAGAAAGAAGTAGATAAATAATTCTCTTGAGGGTTGATTCGGTACTTGGACCAGTAGGAGCTCCGATTCATGAATGTGTTTTATGAATCACTGTCCATTAGAGAATCAATGGTACTCAAGGATAAAGAAGTAATTAGA